TTTGCTCACTGTATGTCATTAATAAAGAACACTTTCTTCACTTTTCCAGGGCCTGCCATTCTATCTTCAGGCAGGAAATGGTCAAGCAGGAACAACAAACAGCAACACTACCAGTTCTAATAAAACCCTTTCTTGGGGCAGTTGAGTATCACCTCAGGAAAAAAAGCTTTTTCTGAGTGATCAGCTTCTAATACAGGGCAAACTTTTAACAAACCACTCATAGACATTACTTTATTCATAAATAAGTTACTGCCTTGTCAGACACCATATGGGGTTAAGTCCTTCCCTTTCTCTAGAAGACAACTGTCAAAAGATTAGCTATGATACATGAAGTACCAACTGATTAGTCATACAATATCAATAAAGTTAGTCAAATTTTCAGTTTTGGTAATAAAGATTAATTTATCCAATCATTCCTATTAAGATTTACTCTATAGCATTTTCAGATGGAATAATTAAAGCAGCATTATTTTTTGCTATTTAAATGAATTGGTTTCATGTGACCAAAAAAAAAAATCAAAAATGAAATGCCAGTTCTTGGCACTAAGTCAAAATCTTTGCACAATATTAAAAGGAGGGAAAATTATACTATATGTTTAAGGATAAAACAGTCATGCATACTCCAAGTATTCTAAAATATCTGTAAATTTCAGATTTAAAAGATGTTAAAGAGGATTTAGCTTTTTACTGTGTGTCTTAGGTAGCATCTATAACAGGGGAATACTATGTGAGACAGAGTTTCTGAATTGCACTATCTAAAGTTTGGAATAATTGTCAACACTCCAGAATTTGTGCACAATGAAAAAAGTGACACTTATTTTCTTCACAATTGCAATTTCACTCTTACAAGGTTTCTAGTATTTGTCCTGCTTTGTGGCAATAATTGTAAAAAGTTGGATCACGGAAGGTGCCTACTATGTCAAGGTGCACCTCTTGGCATCTGGCTGACGTCTGCTGTTTATTCAGGAAGCTCAAACAAAATTTTATATGGAGCCACAATTTCTATTGTTCCAAATACTTAGTATTGATCCATTTCCCACACATGGTTGATTCTGAATTCAGAATGTGACAAAGTGCTTGGTCTGAGACATAAGCCACAAATTTAGCAATCCCTAAATATTGTCCTTCTTATTCTACATCATAGTGAAAACAATTCTCAACATTTAGTCCCGTTATTACACCTTCATTTATGAGTTTTAGAAGTTTTCCCAGCATATGTACAGCTTGAGCATACTCAGGAGATAAGCATGCATTTCTTAAGACAATGGCAAATGCAATAAGGAAAAGAAACACATCAGCTGTGAGACAGAGAGGGGGTTACTGCTGCTTCATTAGCAAGACACCACGAGTATTTTGTGCTTCCATGTGTATGTATGCCACCTGTTCCTGAGGGACTATTCATACAAAACAGCCAGGTTACCAAAAATTACTGGGCGATGAGAGAATACTTGAAGGAGAAATTAAAGCAAATGCCAAACACCACTGTAAAAACTCCACCCAAAACAGCAATAATCTCTTCACACAGCTGCAGCAGTGAGTGTGTCAAGAATCAAAAAAAGCAGGACACCTGCCATGCATGACAAATGTTTGCTAATAAATTTAGTAAATTTTTAATCTTAGAACATGACAATATGGAAATATATAGTTTCCTGAACAAAGAATAAAACCACAAAGAAGGTAAAACCTTTTAAAATCATTAAACAAATCAAATCTTTGAAGTGCTTTACTAAGTATCCTATCAGAAATGTCAAAATAATGTCAGAAAGAGGAAGGTGATTGACAGAATATGTCAGTCTAAGAAAGCTACTTCAGACCATACAACACATACTCCAAGTTGGAGAAGACTGTAAGAGGGAGATGACCAGAATTTCTGGTATCCATGCAACCATTATTACAGCATTCACACATACTGCCATTGCCACACTGTGATTAACAGACCGGCGCATTAAGGAAAAAGTTGCAATCAGGTTACGTGAAGAGGACTGAATATCCCTGCTGATTGCAAATGACAGCTGATTTTTTCAGTCAGGTCTGCACTTAGAAAATGCACTGTCTCAGAGGGTAGATAAGCTCTCTTTGGAAGTAGGAAGGCCAAACTCAGTGCCAATTTTTCCCCATCCCATATGGGGAATTAGGAGCAAATGAACACAGTCTTAATTAAACTAAGAGCTTACAGTGATCCATCACTACAAGATCTACAAGTGTGGTGTTATAAACATTCTTCATAAATGGATAAGCACTGGTCTACATATACATCATTAGCTCCCTAGTAAGCAAAAAAAGTGCTCACCAAGTATTACATGGTACCAGAAAATAAAGCACACACCTGCAGGCAGAGACATCCATACACTCATGCTGGCTTTGAAATTAACTATTTCTGCTGGTCTACTACTGTTAAAAGAAAGGCTAATACAGAAATGTAGTGCCTGACATCTGTTTTCTTTGACAAGTCTCAAGTACTCTTGTGCCCCTGGCATCCACATTCAACTGGATATCTATTAACTATTATCCAAATTCCTAATAAATTAACACTGATCAGTATATTTGAGATTCATACGTAAGTAAAGGAAGATCAGTTTCAAGAACATCACTTCAGGATTCTCTTTCACTGACGCTGTTATGGTCCTGGACTTGTGGAAATTCCTGATAATCAGATTCACTTTTCCATTTCCTGTACTTTCTGAAAAATAGCAATTTTCTTCCCTTTTTCCCCCCTTTTCAAATGTATTGTTTTCACCACTCTGAGCTCTCTTTTTCTTTGCTCCAGCAATATTCCAACACATGGAAAGGCCACCTTGATTAGTGAATCCTGTCTTCCACAAGAGACATTAATTCCGGCAGTGTCTCCAGAAAAGCTACTTAACCACAGACCATAAAACATGCCTGTTCCTCACATCCTTTAGTGTATTACAAACTTAAAAGCCAGAAGTGAAGTGCTGCAGCCATAGCTAAAATATCCCAGAGGAAAAAAAGCAGGAGACAATAAAGACAGTCCTTGACGTCTTCAACTCTTTGCTGTCACAGGAACATAATTAGATTCAACTTTCAAATGTTCCTAGATAACAGACCATGTCCATGTTACAGGAAACATCCACCACTCCTAGCTATTCTTGTGTGAGCGAAATTCCTTCTTGACCTCAAGTCTGGCCATGGGCTGAGCACCATGTCCATGACATTTTTAATCAAGAGGTTTTTATGCCACTGAGACTTACACCAGACTTTGAAGTTTAGCATTTTTGCTGTTCTCTGTTGACACAACTGACTCCATCAGACCCTAATTCAAGCTAGGAAAGTTTGTAGAGTTTTTTCCTAATTTCACACCAAGAAAACAGATTTTTAAAGAACATCTCACAACCCATTTTAACTTTTAGTTTATTATGCTGAACAGTAAATATAAGATACTCCAAGCCAGAGGGAAAAAGAATTCCACTGATGACTTAACAAAGCCACCCTTTAATATCAGTGTCCAGTCAACTGGTACTTCATAAGCTTACCAAGTGATGACATGAAATCTACCAACCAATGCTATCTAAAATCAAATACACATAATGCTTCCCCACTTATCATGCTAATCATACAAAGAGACATATTATCAGCATTTTAATGGAGTCCACATTATGTCATAAATGACATATTGTGCTTTGATGCATATTAAAAAGTACAGTTTGGAAAACTGAATTAAAAATGCAGTGCACAACTCCATGGAACTGGCCAATTCCTAAACATTGAGCTGGCAACCTATCTTGAAGGAATGTAATAAAACTTTCATAGTCTGTAAAGTTTAAACATACAAGTCTGTGAGGTTTTTTTGGTACTATTTCAAAGTAGTAGTTTACTCTTTCAAAGTAAATTGTTTTCCAATTGCTCATTGCTATACATCAATATAATGCTCTAAACCATCACTTTTGATGGTTGATGATGATAATGATAATACATTTTAAATTCTTTGACTAAGCTACTTGAGTAATGACAGAAAGATCGGACCTTTCCAAACATGAAAATACAATGAATCAACATGTGTCATCTACAGAAATGGCACAAACATCATTTAATATGATCACATAAAACACATCCATCATTCATCCCTAAATCCATTTCATCATATCTAATCCAAAACTCTGTAAGTATTAACAGTCAGTCACAGAAAAAATAGTATTTTAGCAACAATCTATCACATGACAAGAACTAGTATTTATAGCTTGGTTAGACACTAAGCACAGAATTCTTCTGGATCAAAATTTAAACTTATCTTTCAGTTTATGAAATTGAGAAATTTCTTGATGATTTAACTAACATGTTGATTTTAACTTGTTTATTTAACTAACAGAACTCAATCTAAAGTGAGGAAAAGGGGTGTACGTGACTGACTTACCTTATGTTTTTTAATTTATGGTTGATAGATCTATCCTTCCAAGAGCAGCTCCTCCAAAACATAAAATTTCAGTTCCAACAACAAACACAGAAAAGAGGCAGCCTTTTCTGACACATTTACAAAGATACTAACATGATTTTGAGATCAACTTTGTGTTCTGAGCTGAATAACAAAATCTGTGTGATGGAACTTTCATAAATTTTGCACCTTGAAGGAAGGCAGCATTATTGGAACTAGAAAATAAAACTAAATCACACTAATACTGGATAAATACTTAGTATCTGAAGGAAAGAAAGATTATTAACAGCATGATATTGCTATTTTAGAAAGACCATTCACAAAATGGTCATTAAAATAATTTTGTTAACAAAAAATGACAAGTCTATGCTACAAAGCATTAGTAACAGGCAATTTTTCAGTACGTCATCTATTGTGTATTTAATTTTAAAAAATCTGGTCTTCATCTGAATGCTCTTCTATGGTTTTAAGTTCCCTAAAGGCAACATCACCACTACAAAAAAATTTCCCTATATTAATCTGAAAAAAAATAAAAAAACCCATGAATATCAGATCTGTAGAACTGCAAGGGAATGTATATGCCTTGGAAACCATTTGACTGAAAGGATACAAGTTTTGGTATAATGGAATTAATGATTTCAATGCACGGCTTGCATTTATAGCTGTTGCACGAACCATAATAGGCAGAATTTTTCCATTCACAATAGCACCATCAAAGAGTGGACCAAAAAATGGAACCTGAATAAAAAATTAAGAAGTTCAACATAAAGCAAGACAAGATCATAGCTATAACAATTAGCAATCAACATTAACAATAGAGCACTCAAATATATGTCTTTTTTCCCTCCTCATTGCTAGATAATCAAACCAGTTATTGTGTTGCAAGTCAGATCTTTTCTCTTTGGAAATATACAGCCATATAACTGCTTGATATCCTTGGCAACAGATAACACAGCATTTGAAAAAAATTAAGTAACTATTTTAATGTCTCATCAAAGATCATTTCCAACATTTGCTGCAAAAATCCTAGGAAGTCACGCATATAATGCTTATGAGGTTGATAGGCTAGATGATAATACTATAGATGGTAATAAGCAAAATAAATAATTACTTAAATTCTAATATATTTTTTATCATGGCTGTAGCTATTAACATGTCTATATGGACCAACCCAGTGTGAAAGTATCATAGTTACTGGTGTATTGACCTTCACCTTCTATTTTTTTTTCTTCTGTTCTTTTTTTTTACATTATCTGAACAAAAACACTGTAAGCCCTTTACAGAAGAAATCTGTGGTGAAAGTTTTACCTCTCTGGAGCCTAATTGTAAAACCTTATTTGTGAGATCAGTAGAAAACTGCAATATTTAGTATAGCTAGCTCCCTGTTCTAGGTGAACAGAACAGATAGATCTTATGTTTTGGCATTACATATCTCTCTAATCCATCATCATTTTGCAATTAAAACAAAACAAAACAAACGTTCAGTATTAAGTATCTTAATTTCCTTTACAAGTTAATAAGTTCTGAAGCTGCTGACATAAAGCAGGAGAAAAGCAGCAAAATTTGTGCATCAGCTCAGCAAAGGGTGCAGAGTATACATTAAATATTCTTCCTGATAAAAGGAAACAAATGCTGCAAAAGAATTTTAGATCCCTGTGTTATCTTTCCCATTAGTAATTTACTATAGTTTTGAGAATACTGAAATCTAATGGAAGGCACTTTTTGACATACAAGGACTTCTTTTTGGACTAACAACAATCCCTGTTTTCAGCTGTTTTTGCTTTCCTTCTTAACCTGCATGCTCCCAATAATACAACTATTTGTATTTAAAATAGTAAAAGAATATACTTATTAGTTAAAAATGTAAGTAATCCAACAATAACAAGACTGATTATTGTTTCATTCCTATCAATAGATAGAGGCAATCATCATTATGAGGCAATCCTATTTCTGCCATACCACATTGATTAATATGACTACTTGTAATAATTTTTACAAAGTATAGAAATTCATGGCAAGTGACATCACACACAGAAGTTAGGTAGTATAAAAACTCATGACCACTTTTACTCAGTCAGTTTAGAGTTCACAACCCTAAACCACTGCTTTAAGAACAGGGCCAACACTGACATTTGAAGAACAGTCATTAAAAAGAATGTGTGTTCTTATGCCTAAGGGCTGAGTCATTTTGCTTTAGTGAATTAATCTCCAAATTCTTGTGCAGAAATAAGAAGAAAGTAAAAAATAGGTTTGAGAGGAAAAAGGGGAATATGACGTGGAGGAAGTTGGAACAGGCCATTATTCTAACAACCTTGGTTATGTATCAAATTTGATAAAAAAGCTCAACAAGTTTACTGTAATATTTAAATTACTATGCAGAATATTCTAGCTTTGTTTCCAGATTATGCTGTTAGTAGATATGCTTTACAGCATCAGGCCTTTGCAATTTCAAGTTACTTATTTTACTATGCACTGTACTCACTGAGCTGTTCCCTCCTACCACCACTGCAACTGTCCATGCTTAAGACATCACCTCGTTGGGTCAATCTATTACACTCAAACCTCAGATTCTAAACAAAACTCAGTTCATGGTAAACACACAAAGGAAAGACAAAAGAAAACAAACCCTTACCTCAGGCTTTTTCATAATCTGGATACTGAACATATGGTTTTTCATGGGATAGATAACTATAAGAACATCACCAAATTCTGTTGGAATTATTCCTCTTCTATAATCTCGAGTATGTTCTGACCAGACAATGTGTACTTCATCATTTCCTAAATGTCTTAGCTGGAAAATCAGGGATAAAATGCCATCAGTTTGAATAGTCTTAATTAATATTCTATAGCCATACAGCTATATTAAATATAAATATTTAAAAAAACAAACCCACTAGAAAAATTAGTAAAATAACCAAATTACACAACAGCTCTTTTAAAATTTCAGTGTATTAGTTGACAGCACTGGTTTGTGCTATAGATTTTTATATATTGGTGTTGATTTCTATTTAAATTAACAGATACATGAATATATGTCTCCTACTGGAAGCTAAAATTTTGTTGATATTATCTCAAGAATGCAGAATAATTCAACCTGATTTACTAAAATGTGTTCAAGACTGACATCACTGATAGGAAGAAAATTACTAAATTCTGTATGAACTTCCAAAGTAAATGAATGGAGATCTGTTTAAAAGTTAACATCACCATTCTAGCCAAATTCCAAATTGCCTACTACAAACAAAAAGCTTTTAAAGGAGAATAGCTACTGTATTCTCCACAGCTCCCAGAATAACTAAGATAAATGCTAATTTTCCATGAAACCAGGACATCTTTGTAAAAATAACACCCTGCTCCCCTAGAAACTATGAAATTGTTCTTGATCTGGCTCAGAACGGCCAAATCGGTTCCTCAAAATCCATGCTGTATCCTCAGAAGTAATCATATAACCAGACTAAGGAATTCCTTGAACACTTTGGAATTATCTGATTGAAGAACCAAAACACTTCTGACAAACAAATGTTCACATCATGTGGAGAGGCTTTATGTATACTGATCAAATACATTCTTTCCAGTAAGTGTTATTTCTGAAAATTCAAACTGGAATATCTTTTTTATCTCCTAATGCATCACCAGTTATTGACAATTGTCTTCACCCCTGCTCTCAGCTTGTTTCCAGAGTTTTAGGTAGATGGAACTTGTCAAACAATCACCTTGATGTTATACAAAGGACTGCACTATTTAACATGTAACATACAAATACCATTCTGAGCATGTACAAGAAGCTATTCTATATAAAAAAGCAACAATTTGCCATAGCACTTTTAGAACACAATTGTACATTAAATAAAAGCAAAACACATGCATAGTCTTCAGAGAAATTTAATTGCAATTATTCACTTCTTTATTTTACAAAACCTCCTGGAATGCTGCCTTTGTCTTATTGGAAGGCCTACACCAATCGTCAGTAGCAGACTCAAAAAAACTAAAAAAAAAAAAAAAGGTAAAAAAAAGGCACAAAAAGAATTAGAAAAATAAGCTGAGTCTGCTCTTCTTTGTTAGCTTTAAATTATATCAGAATGAGGAAGAGGGTTGTATTTCTATTAAAAAAAGGATTTTCTTCAGTGTTGGACTGGGCAAAGGACAGGTGGCTTCAATATCCTCTCTCTTCTTTGATGTTCAACAAGTAATTTGTTTTGTCTGGACCAGACTGTACATACACCTACTCTTAAAGGGCCATGGTGCCTTTGAAACCAGCTGTTCTTGCCCCTTGG